AATGGTGAACAATAACTTTGAAGTTGAATTAATACACATTATGATGGAGGAAAAGCAAGACAAGCTTTCATTACTCTTAAGTTTGTGTGGAGGTCAACAGCACTCAGCATGAAAGTGAAAGTAAGATCCGGATTTTCAACTCCAATGTGAATTTAGGGCTACTATACGGATCAGAGACTTGGCCAGCGCGTCATAAAGAGCATCTCTAACAAACTTCAGACCATCATTAACAGTTGTCTTCGCTCAATACTCAAGATCAGATGGCCAGCCAGAAAAGATCAGCAAAAAGGAGGGATATCTGGGAGCGAACCAACCCAGCAGGAACCGATTGTGAAACAAATAGGCAGGAAGAAATAGAGGTGAATTGGACTGACCATACTCTGAGGAAACAAACCATCAGGTGACATCACTAGACAAGCCATTGCTCGAGTGGAACCCGAAAGGTGAGCGGCGAGTTGGTTGTCAATGTGAGGGTGACTTGGAGGAGGTCATGTAAAGAGGAGATGAAAGCAGGTGGGCAGACTTGGAGTCAAGTGAAAACTTTATCAGAAAACCGAACGCAGTGGAGACGTGCAGCTGAAGCCCTATGTTCCTCTAGGAATTAAGGGAAATAATAAAGAATATAATGATGGAGGATTCAAGAGGATGAGAGTGAATAGTAAAATTAAAATTAAGAAAATTTAGAAATCTATTAGTGAGTTCAACTCAGTGAAAGAAAATCATGATTAATTCGGTCCGTGCCTGCGTTCTATCTCCTGTGTGAAGTGGTATAATAAGGTGAGCAACATTGAGGTTAGACCTTGGTCGAATGCTAGGTAAACAGGGGAAATCGATCGACGAAGTTGTGAAGTTACAAAGACTGAGATGGTTAGGACATGTGTTACGTATGCCTGGTCATCGCCTTCCTCGACGAGCAATGTTAGCGGATATAGGGTCAGGCTGGAAAAAAGCTAGCGGAGGTCAAACAAAAACATGTCTTCACCAGTCAATGAAATGCACAACAGTTAGTTTAAGCCACGTAGGAAGGTGTAGACTTCCTGACTGGTTGGGGTCCTCGGGACTGTAAAAACCAATGGTTGGAAACAATTGGTGACATGGCTCAAACACATCGTTCTCAATTCATGGCCCAGATGCATCCACTCCTTGTGACTTATAATTTCCAATGAAACTGTTTTGTTCTTCGTTATTACTATTCCTTTGTCTCACACCACTGTTTACTGTCTCTATTATGCATTTCTTCTACTTTCTTCTGTTTCTTTGTGTGCTACAAGGAGTGGAGTGTGGCGACTTGAACTCCCGCACCTATGTGCAAAGTTATGTGTCGAAAACAGACATACAGACAGACTTCAGTTCGTAGAAGCCATTGCTATCAAAAGACCTTGACCCAACTTCCGTATACAGACAGACAGACAAACAGTGTGACTAATCTCTCACTACCCTGATAACTGTGGTGATTTTGTTCGTGTTTTAGTGTCTTCTCCTCTATTGCGTAACATCCAACTTAATGTTGATTTAATTTTTTTTTCACTAACTGAGTTGAACTCACATTATTAAGTTAACAAATTTACTTAATAATTGTTTGTCTGTCATAATTTCACACCCACCCTCTTGAACTCTACATCACCATATGTCTAAATTCACTGGTGTCTAGTCTATTCTTGTTACCAAGCTAAAACTGAACTTTACCCCCACCCCACTCCACTCCTGCTCTTGTCTAACTATACTATAAATAATCTTTCAAAAAATGGATCACTCGTTTACTTACGTCACCTTTTTTTCGGAATTATGTTGCTTATATTTCTTATTCCATTATGAGTAAAATTTATTTTGATCAAGTCTCACAGTGTTATACAGTAATATTAACTGATGACCACGTTTTGAGCACAATTTATTACTGTTCATAATAGTACTACGGCACACAAACACACAACTTTCTAACTTCGTTTATACAATTCCATTATGTTTCATCACTTGACTTGTTTGGTAGTAGTATCTCCCATATTTCTGGTATGAGTGATGAGTCATTCCTATTGCGTGTGTTAGGTGTAGACTCGATGAACCAGGCAGGATTCAGTAATCAATCTCTCCCTCTCTCCACCTATCTAGATTACTTTTTAGAATTTTAACCCTCACCCACCCTACTGTGTGGTTGTGTGTTAATGCATGCAGTACATTGTAGTGCTGAGTTGGTTTTTCTAGATTACTTATCTTCTCGGGGTCAACCATTCTTACTTTAGCTAAATTCTTATGTTCCGACAACCTAACTACCCACGACCTATTAGTTTGACCTATGTAGTTGACCTCACAGTCATTGAAGGGTAAATTACATTATTTTGTCTAATTCGGTCAACTGGGTCATTTAACCTACACAGTTTGTCTCCGAGTAAGTTTGTAGGTTTAAATGCCACTCTAATTCTTGCTTTATTAAGAATCCTACGTAGGGTCTCGTATGTTCCCTCCTGATATGGTATGTCATTAGTTTCACCATTTTTTTTAAATTTTGCTTTTGACATTATTTTGATCTTCCTAATGAATCTTATAGGATAGTTATTTGATACTAACGCTTCTTCTATCTGTTTTATTTCATCATTTAGGTCTACTACTAATCAAGTCAAGAGATGAAAAGTAATGGAATTATATAAACGAAGTTAGAAAGTTGTGCGAGCAATGCCTTGATATGATTATGAGCAGTGATAAATTGTACTCGAAACGTGGTCATCAGTAAAATATTACTGTATAACAAACACTGTGAGACTTTATCAAAATGAATTTTACCCATAATGGATTTATACTCTACTACTACAGTGCACAAGTTTTCATTCTTATATCAACTCATAATTCTTATCTATAACTCGAAGTCATTGTGAGAAAAGAGTAATTTCGAATCTTATATTCTGATATCATTTAGGATGTACGCAGGGGCACATCTCCATTACAGTCTGTTCTCTGAAGTCTCTAGTTGGCTTTTTTTACAAATCCACTATCAGCTTTCATTTCCTGACTGACTGCTTTCAACATAGAACTTTGCATCGATGTGGAGTAGTTCAAGTCGTCACACTCCATGTAATACACGAAACAAAAGAAAAAAGTAGAAAGGAATGAAAAATACCCGACGGAAAGCTGCTACCTTGACGTGATAGTTGGGCTTGCATATCGCAATGACTCAACAAGCTACACTAGCTGGAACTATCGTTCTTACAGGTCCCACCAGGACAGGAAGGTTGTTAGGATAGCGATTAGACTAAGAGCAGTTGCCGGAATAGTGTAGGAATTTTTATACACTGTTGGGGGTCTATGGGCGAAGTCGTACTTCTGGGGGACAGGGATGTAACAGCAGTGAGGTGTTTCCCTCAGATGAGCAGCAAGCCAGTCAGCTCTGGAGAGGGGGGTTAGAAAAGGTCGACCCCAACAATTGTACATCTCGACTTACCCTACGGTGGTCCGTATACCGGCGGTGAGTTTATTAATACGGAACTAATCCAAGAAACCAGTTCATACAGGCCTCAAGCAGTTGTCTCCTGGATTCTATGGTCATGCAACACTAACCCTCTTTCTGTTTCAGGTACCCTAAGAATCAATCGACTTCCATGGTGTGGGCAGCCGGGAAGTAACAATCGTCCACACACACTTCCAAGAGCTTTCATTTTCTATTCACATGATTTCCCTTTATGTCATCCTCGAACGTCCAAACTTGTCACTTCCGTTTTGGGTTCTAATCGGGTGCCTAGAATATGACTTCACCCAGTAGTCGCCTCAGTGTATATCCAATTGATTTCTATTCCCTTCTGCATATCTGTTGAGAGATAGCTTGACAGAACTTGTTACTCATCCTTTTCTAACCATCTGATCTTCAGTATCGAGTGAAGACGTCTGTTGATGACAGTCTGCAGTGGCCTGTTGGAGATACTTTTGACAATGTGTCCGTCAAGTGTCTGAACCATGTTAGAAGCACTGAACTAATATTAGCGTTGAAGAACTCGATCTTGTTTCTTGTACTGAGTGCCATAGATCACCAGTGACTTCAGAATAATGAATGCCTGTCTTGTTTTCCCGATCGTGACTGGGTCTTTGACAATCTCTTCCAGGCCACCTATATAACTGGAATGTGATGCTTCCTGTACAGGTGTAAGTGGGGGAGAGGACTTATTCTACACCTCTCTCCTATTGATGGTGACTGGTGCTTGTTGATGTCAGGTGGGTATCTCTTCTATCACCTTCAAAGTCCTGTCTCCACAAGATAGTAACCCCATCAGGAACCTTTTATTTATTTAATTAAACGCATAAAAACTTGGTACAATATGGCACCAAGAAGGATGCACCACACAATAATAAAACAACATAGATCAAAAGAAAAAAAGAATATATATATATATATATATATATATATATAAGTAGAGAACGGATTAAGAACTTCATCTGGAAGGAAAACAGTCATGCTTAACAAGTTCAAACAGTATTCGTTAACTGTCATCGGGAAGGGAAGAAAGAAGAAAATTGCAACACGTGTAATAGCACGCGATAAGTTTCATTGATTGTTTGTTGCTTCATTCAGTTCATTGTGTGAGGGCTGAGATACTGCCCGAGCGCCCAGACCGAAGCAGGTGGTTTTATTAAGGGACCACCCCCTGAGCCTTTGACTTGGAGTCTAATCCGCAAAGCAGCGTCAGGAGCTGCATTCCCATGGTTTCCGGTGACCCATATGGGTTCATACGCCATTTGATCCGATTGGATACTGGAGCCCATGTACCCCATGGTAACTGCTTTTAGTTTAATCGCTAACCAAACAACCTTCCTGACATGGTAGGACCTGCAGGAACAAAGTCCCAGTCAGTTTAGTATGTTGGGTCATTACGGTATTCAAGCCCGACCACCACGACAAGGCAGCAGTTATCGGTAGTTATCACCAGGAACCTGATTTGAATCAACCTTCTAAAAGGATTATTTACCGTAATAATAATAATACGATATCTACAGTAAACAATAAAACAGTGACAACTCACCTTAACAACTGTCGCCGGCTGTACAAAATATGGTTTAAGTGGATGAACAGCTTCCAGCTTCCAACCCACTTTAAACTCATGAAGAGGTTGAGTATTATGATTATTATCAGCAGAAAATAAAGATTTTAATAGCAGAGAATCAACTGATTTAGATAGCTCATTATATGTGGCTGCACATGCACCACGTATAAAAGTATCTATATTTGAAATCGCACGCTCTAACACACAGCCAGGTGGTGGACAATACTTCAAATGATACAACTTGCCATACCCAAGTGGATGTAGCCGGCGATGAAGATAAAATAATGTAAAATTATTCACTCTACGATTTTTATTATCAGAATTTTGAACTTTTGAATTAATTCCAAACCAAGATAATAGAACACGTCCACCAATGTTCATAAGCACCTGTAAATAATCAAAAATTTAGAATAATAATAATGATAAAAAACACTCACCTTTACTGGCCAAACACAAGTTGGATCAAGTTCATGTTCACATTCAAAGTATCCACCGACACGGATAGTTTCAAAAGCATACAAACAATGCCGTTCAAAAAATACATTGCTAACTGAACGATTTTGTAGACGTACTGCCCAATCAGTCATTTGCCAATGAATTCCTTTAAGATGACTAAATTGTTTTGGTGGATTCCAATCAATACCTTTTGATAGACACCAACCCATAGGTTGTAAACACTGCCAATTTCGACCTTTAGTATCAAACCAAAATTTATTCTTTCCTTTAGACTTAGAGGTTACAACTTGAAGGGAATTTGAGTTAGAGCATGTATTTACTTCAGGTGGGCGACTATTTATCTCTGGGATACACCATTTCAAGAGAATAAGATAACCAGAAACTAGGACTACTTCAGCTGGCCACCAAAAAGATTGATGATTATTGACTTCATCCTTAACTTCTGCAAAGGATTCATAATTCACTTCAAGTGTTTCGCCTACTTTGATTACTGTTCCAAGACTTTGAGTAACATGTGGAAATAAATTAGTTGGTGAGATTTCAGCACCTGTCTCTGATAGATAAACATGCCAACTGAAGTTCATAGTTCAATATTTTAGTTTAAAAGTCTATGTGAGCACATACAATACACACCACCTTAAGCTATTGATTTTCAAGTAAAACACACTGATGAATCTGAAGAAATAAGACACATTTGGTAAACAGTTGCTGCTTGTGTATACACTCCCTTCTCAATTATAACAGGAGTTTAACATAACATGACTGAATGTTTGTTTTACTCCGCTCAAAAACTATAGACACTTTCAGAAGATTGAATGGATTTCAGAATATGTAGCACTAGTTTTCTGGTGAACTTTTTGACGTCGAAATCTAGATGGCAATCTCTTTTTCAATGGATTATCTAAAACAGTAAGGAAAAGAAGGTAAAAATGAACTAATTAGACTACTAATGAATAAAATAATTAACAATGAATTTATTTGCTTTGTATACAAATTCAAAGATGATAATAATTCGAACATAGATATTGCAAATCACTGTTTAAAAGAACTACTTCTAAAGTGAACTTGTAATGTCCCAGTTCAAGTTCAATGACACTTTACAGACAAAATGAAGGAGCGACAATGGATCGTTTACTTAAAGACTACTTCTTGGCACCCGACCGATAGCTGCTACCTTGACGTGATAGTTGGGCTTGCATATCGCAATGACTCAACAAGCTACACTAGCTGGAACTATCGTTCTTACAGGTCCCACCAGGACAGGAAGGTTGTTAGGATAGCGATTAGACTAAGAGCAGTTGCCGGAATAGTGTAGGAATTTTTATACACTGTTGGGGGTCTATGGGCGAAGTCGTACTTCTGGGGGACAGGGATGTAACAGCAGTGAGGTGTTTCCCTCAGATGAGCAGCAAGCCAGTCAGCTCTGGAGAGGGGGGTTAGAAAAGGTCGACCCCAACAATTGTACATCTCGACTTACCCTACGGTGGTCCGTATACCGGCGGTGAGTTTATTAATACGGAACTAATCCAAGAAACCAGTTCATACAGGCCTCAAGCAGTTGTCTCCTGGATTCTATGGTCATGCAACACTAACCCTCTTTCTGTTTCAGGTACCCTAAGAATCAATCGACTTCCACGGTGTGGGCAGCCGGGAAGTAACAATCGTCCACACACACTTCCAAAAGCACACGAAAGCTTCCTACTTCCTGGCAAGTGTAGAAAATGACGTATTACAATCCACTGTTGAAAGTTTATAAATGTACTAAAGATAATATGAATGATACTTTCATAAAATGCGATATGTGCGTCGGTGGCACTGTGTTTAGGACTCTCGCCAACCATGCACATGGTTTGAGGTTCGATCCCCTGACGACGCACACCTTATATCTATGGTCGGCCTACAAAATTTGGGCTACCGTAATCACATGCTGAAAGTTCCATACTTGTACCAAAATACGGGGTGGAATCAAGCTGTAATCAGAAATAAAGATGTTGACTGTGAAACGATAATGATGGTTTTCAATAATTTCCACTATTCTATCATATTCGAAGATGAATTCTGAATTTCATGTATTTCTTTTTTGAGTGTTCCGTTGTAAAAGGAGATTTGAAGGTTTCTTCAGAGATCAATATAACATAGAATAGTGAATACATGCATTTTTATAGTTAAAGAAAGAGCAACGTGACCGACTCATTATCTTCAAGGGTAAGAAGTATTTTTACCGATGATGCAATCAATAAACTAGAGAAACACAGACAAGTCCTTATTTTGAAATGGATGTCCTAACCGACTAATCGAGAAAAATATGAAAGTATAGCTGCAACACTAAAGAATTCACACTGTATCAAAGAAATTATTGTTTGAATTTAAAAGTGATACAGCAACTGAGAAATCTGAAGAGGTGTCTATCCAGATCGCTAAAAAAAACATTCGTTTTGGATGAGCTACGGATCAGTTTCCACATTCACCAAATAATAAATGGATATGTTGTCAAGGATAAACTGGTGCTTTGGACCACCTTGGGCGCACTTTCTAAATAGATTTCAGAACAATATTCGATATGGTTATCAGTGGGATGATGTGAGTCAATTACTAGTTCGGTTCTCGAGCACCTGATCGACTTAGGCCACATAGCTCTATCAGACTCCTCGTTTTGGATCACTCATAAGATACGGCTGTCTGGTGTATGGCATGTCATGTTTCGATGCTTGTATGTGCCCAGCGATTCGTCAATACAACCCTAAACTCTCTGCGTGTTTGTGGTCGAGTCTTTTATACTCCCATGGTCTTGAAATCCATTCTACGTGTTTGGATCTTCCTATTTATCAAGTGACTCTAAACCACATTGCTTCTCATCTAATAACACTCTTCAAATTATAAGCATTTACATCTTTTGTGATGAATAATTATTGCATAACTCAGTTCTGCTTTTGGAAACAGCTTCTGAGTAGCTTTATAGATTGTTGTACACCCATATTACTCAGTGACACTGCTACGCATTTCTGTTAAATGTAAATACAATTGCACATTGGGGATGACTGCTTCGATTAGGGAAATTTTCTTCACTGACTTGTCTTTTATTTTCTTCAATTTCATTTATATGTAATATCATGCAACGATTTCCACGTGAAACACAGTTCGAAATAGTAAGCGAGGGTGGACCACAAAGCCTTAGCAGAATCTAGGTTAGTAGACCCCAATAATACAAGAAATCAAAAGATGAACTCCGCTATAGCATCACACAAAGTTATACACAACCACACAAATAGGATGGGACAAACTGATAGATTTAAAATGCTATATAAAAGGAGTCGGGAGGGAAGATTGACAACAATAGCATTCGAAAAACCCTCTAAGTATTATAGAATATTTGTCTTAGATGATAACATGCTTCTTATTTAGTTTCGAGAAGCAAGACTAATTGACTATTTGGCAAGTTTACGACAATTCATTGTATTTTTTCTAGAACAAAAATCAATATTTTACAATCCGGGATTTTTCGCCGGTCGACAGAGCATTTACTCAGTGATTCAGCCTGTAATCTTTCCGAAGCCAACTCCAGAACTTTCCCCAATGCCTTTCGAGACCTAAACTTGGACAACTCCTACAGTTTTTCTTCCCATTTATATTATGGTGAGATCAAGTTTTGGTTTATGAGCCATTTACTAAAATAGATTGAATAATCAGTGGAAACTATAAATACAAGTCTCAGATTTAGTGCAGGAAATATATTTAAATCAGGATTCATGCGTTCCAGTAGTCCATGAAACACCTCAAAACTCAAATCAGCTGACAGCCCAGTCTACCTATACAGCTGAGATAAGAAGCGAACAAAGAAAAATCAAAAATTTAACCTTCTAAACCAGTTACACAATGCACTAGTTATGACTACTACGAATACCGCCTCTTTAGTCTGTTAAGTTCACTTAACTACAATCACCCATAGCAGGTTTTAGTACACTTTTATAAAAGTGTACTAAAACCTGTTTGTGCTGAAGAGATTATCAGCATATCCTTTCACTTAGAAACGATACAACCACGTTTTATACGCACCTCTCAAAAGAGAAGTTACCCTACGTACTGGAAACATACTGTAACTACAACTACGTCTATTTTATGCCAACCAACTAACATGGAAGTGTCCTCTAATACGACAGATTACTGAAGTAATTCTGGAGATTCGCTAAGAAAACAATCAAAAAAGCTTCGAGAAATTTGAGGACCTCAAGTGGGAGTTTTGGACATTTTCTAAAGCATACTGGGTGACCCTGATTTCACCCATTTCGATTTCACCGTAAAATACCTGAATGCATTGAGTTATTACCCATTGCACTTCGAACCGATAAACTCCATGAAGAGATGACAGAAAAATATAAGTAGGTCAAAAGAGCCCATCATAGGACCCGCAAACTTTACTAGTATTAATTCGACCTCGCGAAGTGGGGCATACCGGGTCAACTCAGTATGGGTGCCGGGGCACTTCAAGGTCATATGCACTATCCAATATTAACGTTAAAGTACAATCTCAATGGTTTGATTACTTTCTCATGCATCACTTGCTGTTATATAGACATCATAGCTTGTTTTTTTATTTGTGCACACAAATGATATCATTAGTGCATAGTGTCCAATTTTCTAAAACGAATTTTAACGCGGGAAGCAGTTTCCTGCTAAATCACCGCCAAAAGACATGAAAACTGTGGCAGAAAAACCCTAAAAAAATCTCCACACTAGACATTCAGTGTTCGATACTCAATATCGTTTGCATGAGCTAGTGCAAACCTAGTTGATTTCCTTGTGTTCATTTCTTGGTTGCTATATATAGGATCCTAATCTTCAGTGAACTTCTGTGTACTATTGGTCTTTGTCTTTTTTAGCTGATTCGCCAGACTGAAAGCTCTCCCCATTCGACACATGGGCTGGCTACATTTGAATGTTCGTGTGAGATTCCTGCTATCCTTAGAACCTGTAGGCAGCAAGCACTTACCTGTGTTTCGCAACAGAGATCCCGAAGCATTCACTCAGATGCAATCAAGAGAGCTGTTTTACTCGCTTCAAGTCGCTAGGTACTTTTTGACCTAACGCCCATGGCAAAAGTGACCTAAAGTCATTTCTAAAATATAAGCGGGTATCTACTGGCAGGTATCCTCAAATACTGACCACCTACTGTTCAGTGAATACCTACTGTTATGCCCAACATTAGCACACACTCAGGTAAGTATCGACGTTATGTGATACAGTACGGTTATCACCACCTTTCATTAACATTTTCCCAGCAGTCACTACATCCAGTGTAAATTCATTAATTACAGTGAACTATGTTTTGCAGGAATTTCTGGGCGTACGATTTCTTCCTCTACTTCAAATTCACATACTTATAAGTCATGGATAAAAATGTTTTGCAAGTTTTTTTTTTTTATTTTCATATAAACATAAATTTACATGAAAATGCATGCCATTTTTACAGGCACGATCAAGGATGATATAATGTCAAATCTTAAATTGTCTACAAGTTAATAATGTTTCAACAGTTAAATATTTGATATATATATAAATACACATTGTCTGAACTAGGCTGTATAGTTATTGAATTGTACAATTGTCCTCCAGGTTGAGCGGGAAAATCGACTTCGTTTCGTTTTCATCCCGTGGTTGTAGGCATACGATAATCAACCAATATTGAGGTAAGTACAACGTTTACAAGGAATTGGAAGCTGTTTTAGAAAAATTAAAGTGCTGTGGTGTAACATTAAAGTGTAATAGATTAAGTGAGTGAAATATATCATTAATAAACACATTTATATAGAAAACAGAATGGGGAAGTAATTAATCCTTAGGCCGACAACGTTCATTTGCAATGTATAATGAAACCAATATATTTTATACTATCATGCGTTCACTTTTGGCTTTAATACAATTATTTTCAAGCCAGTTGTCTTTATTTCATGTCTTTTTTTCTATTTGGTGCACAACCGTACCCTCCAGAGAATAGGAATAGAATAAGTCGAATCAAATTCATAAAGAGCTATAAAATGTTAGGTTTAATGGAATATAATGAGAATCAAGTAAAGACGTTATTAGAAAATAAGTGAGACAAGATATTGTGAAGTGGTATTTAAAGATCTGACAATGGATAGCAAGTTAATTCATAAGATGCCCCATAAATCTGTGCAGATCCCACGTGGTCGCATCTCAACAATAGGCTGAGCGAATGGTATATATTTAAAGGTAGAAGCATTATCTGTCAAGGCGTTCACTATTATCTTTTTCAAGATAAAGATCTAAGCCCTCATAAAAATCAGAAATATCTCGAGCCTTTAATTTGTATATTGCTGTTCCTGCAGAATGGGGCGATTCACCTTAGTGACCACCACCATATCTACTGATCAGCTAACGCCACCCTCCCTCCTTTTTTGATGTTAGGCTCTGAGACTATGATTATTATGGCTACCGCAAATATATTGCTTGGTACCAGACATGTTCGTACCCCATATTCCATCTCCCTAGCTTTCTTAATGAGTGCTTCCAATAGGTCTCCACGTACATCTTTACGAACATATTATATATGTGTGCATGCATCCTGATGAACAGATTACTTTATAAGAAGTTAAAACCTTAAAGAGTAAAACGAATAGGTATTGTGAATAGTGGAGCAAGATTTAGCAGAATACTATAGTTAAGGTTCAATTTAGGTAGTATGGACTGAAGGTAAGGTCGGTTGGCAGGACTTAGTGTACTAAATTTTCATGACAGTCTTATATATAGTAAACATCTGACATTGCAAAGTAACGTGTCTAGACATATTATAAAAAGATATTAACACAGAACCAACGAAATTTTGGCGTTTTTTAACAATACTGCAGTGTGTGTATACTGAAGAATGGTGGTTAGTCTACAGGGAGCCGTAGAGTAAATCAAACCATATATGATAAGAGTATAATCAATAATATAGTTCGTATATCAAATATTACACTAGGTTCAATAATTGAGTGTTATAAGGGAAACAAGCGTGGTAAAGCAAGAGAACATTTGATGCATAAATATTTTAAGTATTTTAATATCCATCTAATTTAAGAGTTGAACATGCATGATTAATAAGTATTGTTATATTAGTATATACATATGTAAAACGTTAAAAGGTGTGGATGCTATTACAATTATTTCCAGTGTTACTTTCACCAACACAACTTAGTGAAAATTATAGAGAATAGAAATCAGTAAATTAGTTAACGTTCGCTGCGTGAGTATTAGAGTCGAGATATACGTATGTGACTATACTGAAGACTGGACTGGCCTTCAATTTCCGTTCTACCAACAGTTGTGGTCTTTTAGACGAGCTAGGGTGGACATGTTAAAGTGTCTTTCTAGGCTCCGTTTGAACCCATCAGGGTTTTCACAACATCTTATTTCAGGTGGTAGTTGGTTCCAAAGAGTGCAATATTTTATGGTGAAAAAGTTTGCCCTAATGGATTTTCTGTGGGTAGCCACCTTGACAAGGTAGTCGTGGTTTCGCAGCTGATATGATTTAATATTTTCCCAAGTTATGGATGAGTTACTGTAGCAGTGTTTCCTAATGACTTTGAAGAGTAGAAATAGGTTGCACTTCACTCTCCTTAACCACAGAGGCTCTAATTTCAGACGTACACACCTGTCAACATATTCCACTTGTTGGTCGAACCCTATTATGCGTTTCGTGAGGAATCTCTGGACACTTTCGATTTTTTTTCTGTCTACAGTCCTGAGGTTACTAAATAGGAGAGCACAATATTCAAGTTTGGGACGGATACATGTCCTATATATAGCTAATCTTGCTTCTTGGGTGTAGAAGTTACGCAGTACAAAGCCAGTAAGTCGTTTACAGTCAGATACAACCTTATTTGCGTGATCGGAAAAGGATAAATCTGAGTATGTTATCCCGAGGTCTGTGACTGTGTTCAGTTTTGAGGGGAGCTTCCCGTACATGTATAGGCACATTATCGGTTTCCAGCGTCCAAGGTGGGTTATACCGCACTTGTCTGGGTTGAAAGTCAGTTGCCACTTTTCGCTCCAATCGCCTAGATCATTTAAGTCTTGTTGGATCTTGCTTTCGACGCTCATATCACCGTACCCATAATCATATACTATCTTGAGATCATCTGCAAAAAGGTATGGCTTGCCATACTTGATTACAGAGACTATGTCATTTATAAATAAGAGGAATAGAATAGGGCCAAGAACACTACCTTGTATTACACCACTGGTTATCGGCTTTGAGGAAGACAACTGGTGGTTGATTTTGACTAATTGCTCTCTTTCTGTGAGAAAAGAACTTATCCATTTGTGAAGATTTCCGGTTATTCCGTAGGATTGGAGTTTTGTTAGGAGTCTGATATGTGGGACTTTATCGAAGGCCTTGCTAACGTCAAGAAACAATGTTGTTACCGAACGCCCATTATCAATGCTTTGTGTGATGTAGTCAAAATAATCTAAGTGGCAAGTAATGCACGACCTTCTACTTAAGAAACCGTATTGGGATGGGGATAGTAGGTCATTTGACAGCAAGTACTGAATGATTTGAGTCTTAACTATCTTTTCCATTACACGTGAAACTACAGACGTGATGTTGATGGGGCGGTAGTTGTTGATATCAGCTATAGGCCCGTATTTATGGATAGGTACAATATAAGACTTCTTCCAGCAGTTAGGGTATGTCCCATCGCTTAATGAAATTGAGTATAACTTGAGTAAGAGTAAACTCATGTCATTACCACCTTTTTTCAGCAGAACGGAAGATATACCGTCTGGGCCAGTAGTGTTACTAAGCTTAAGATTTGCGACAGCTTTATCGATCTCATGTGTGGTGAAAATTATGTCACTTAAACATTCGTCTGTTTTACGTGGGAAATCCACGACTTCATCGTTCTCTAAGGTGTATAATCTGGCGAAGTGCTTGCTAAACAGTTCACATATCGCCTCATTATTTTCGTAAGCAATGCCGTCTAAGTATATTATTTTCGGATAGGGTGTTTTGGAGTTCATCAACCTACTTTTAAAAAGTTTGGCTATTTCTCCTGAGTTATGCGGTGCATGAATGGCCTGCATTTCTTTGTTTCTGAGGCCTATATTTCTCAACTCTTCAATTCTACTGAGAAGGGACGTTATGGCAATTAATGACGATAAGTCATGATATCTGTAGTATTTTATTGAGTGCTTACGTAGACTTCTTCTAAACGATGTCGGAATATAATCACTTTGGGGGAATCTGAAGTTAAGAATCTTCTCGGGTGCAATGACGTCGTGAATTGAGTTAATATTCTGATAGAAGTTGTTAAGAATTGCATCTAAGGACTGGTTCGAAAAGTACGAGTCCCAATTAGAACATCTAATTAGGTGCTGATACAAGTCCCAGTCAGCATGTGTGTACAATCTCATATAGCATGCAGTAAAATTCCATCAGAAGTCCTACGTCACGAAACTAGAGTGTGATTGTGGCAGTTGCTGCTGACGGTTTT